GCAAACACATATCTAGTTCTAGATTTTTTTGTTGTTCAAAGTGTGCTTCAACATAGCCTCATAAGACTTTGACATCATTTGATTAACCATCAAAGATGAAATCATAATTCTTGGTATTCATCAAGTACATAAGAATTTATTTCATGGCTTCTAATGAATATTTGTTGAACATTAAACATATAATTGCTCATCTTGTCTATGGCATAGTTCTTGTGCTCATCATCAAATACATTAGATTACTCGCACGTCATAATAAATTGATGATATTCTTTTTTTTCTCAATGACATTGTTATACATTGAGTGCAGTGAATTTAGAAATCAAATTCTCTTGACTTTATTTTTCAAAATCATATGGTTGTCTCGTGTAGATTTTTTACTCTAGATCCATAGAAATATATTGTAACTACATTCATAAAATCCATAACAAGACTAAATATTGTAGCAAATGCATATACGGGACATATTGTACCATATATTGCTATTAATGAGAAAAACATTGTTATAGTTCATTTTTTGGGGTGAAACCTCTAGTCACCAACCTAGTTTCAAAGATTCTCTTTGATTCATTTTTTGGACTAGTTTTCAGTTCAGTACATCCACTTGCAATAAATCAAGCTTGATTTCTTGAAAGCTCCATTAGCTCCTAGTTTTCATTGAGTAGGGCCGGGTGTGATTTGGGACACGATGAATCGGTGCGTGCCCCGATCGGCAAAGGATCACCGGAGTATAGCACAGGATCTAAAACCTTGTTATCAACCAGCAACTACATGTCACATTTCATAACAACATTTCATTCAAACTTATTCATAGAGGCTTGAGCGATCTATCAAAAATATTTTTTTCTTTCTATCAAAATCAACGAAATGATATCATCATACTTTATATGAATATCACAATGTTCAAAAATGCATAAATTAGTACATAATTTATACTTTACAGAAGTCTCATTATTCCCTTAATGATTTCCTTGTAGACAATTCTAGTTGATTTCTATCTTTTAATGCAGATACTTGAAGCTCATCAACAATAATTTGCTACTATTATTCTTGCTTTTCAAGACTTTGTTTAATTTATAATGAAACTACTCCTTGTGTCACATCATTAATCACATAATAATCAATCTCAATCTCTACAAGATCTTGAATGGAGAATCTTCTTTGCCATTAGGATAAAACTAAAATGTTTATTCCTATTTCAATGATCCGGACTTATTGAAAAAAAAATTCTTATTGACAATAAATCTATTGCTCTTATAATCTATAATCCTTCACATTACTAGCATATCCAAGAAAATTACATTTCTTGGATGTAGATACTAACTTGCTAATCAAGAAAACTACATTTCTTGGATGTAGATACTAAAGTAGTATTATTCTCCTTGGATATGAAAAGATAAACCAAACAATAAAAAATGCTTCAATGACTATAATGAGTCATACATTTGTGACTTAGTTCAATTAGTGTGATGAAATTGATTGTGTTATAGGAAAAAATGTTTACCAAATACACTGCAAAAATGAGTGTTTTAATCAAAAACTGGTATAGTTAATCAAATTGATACAACAAAATCCACAACTTTTTCAACATTTTTTGATTGAGACTTTCTGAAATAAATTTTTGTTGTGAAAAATAAACCATAGTGAGGTGATGAATAATTAATTTTCTTTGCAATAACTTTAAAACTCCTTAGAATTATAATTTTTGCCATTATCCGTACATAAATATTTCACATTGTGTCTAGTTTGAGTTTCAATTTGATTTTCCAACTTTTGAAAGTTTTAAATATCTTATACTTGTGTGTGAGCATATAAAACCACACACACCTTGACTAATAATCAATAACTGATACATTAGATAATTTTCTAGAACATGTTACTTTTGAAAAGTATCCCTCACGTCACTATATACATATTCAAGTAACTTCATGGAATAGATAATTGCAACATTAAAGAATTTTTTATGATGGTTGACTATGATATACTATTTCTAAAATTAAAAATTGATTTATCTATACAACATAACAATTTCCTATCGTCTAGAAAAAACAAGTAGCATTTAGTCATGTATAATAGGTTAGAATTCCATACATAAATAAATCTTCTCGAGGCTTAATAAAATTAACTTCATCATAGATGGTAATGCATCCTAGCAAATGTAAATTTTGGTGCTTATTATCTCTAAATATAATTTTATCACATACTTTTATACTAAACATTTCTCTTTGTGAGCTCCACTCAAAGCCTTTTGAGTCTATTCATCCAAGAAATATCAAATCTTTGTTTCTCATATGAGATTTAGATTCAACGTGAATCAACTATGTAGTTCTTTAAAAATTCAAATCTTATCAAATCAAATATTCTCAGTCCTAAAGGATTTATTATTCTTCATAAAACTGTGAATTGTTTGATCTTACAAGAACTTAAAAAAAACTTTTCAATGTAATAGATATGATTACAATTTAGTATCTATACATCATCATTATACTTTGAAGAATTGCAAAAGGCATATCTCTCACAACATAGTCTATTGTTCATCAAGTCATCTTTCTCTCCTTCAAACTCTTGAGTCACATTGACTATCAAAGGAATAACATCTTTGATCTTCATCCAACAGTAATTCTTAAGGTGGTCAATTTTGACACATGTTGAGCACACCATATTATATTTTCTAGAAATTTATCCCTATACTTGAATTTACTTTAGATCCAAAATGTTTGCTATTCTTGTCATTTCGTGAATATGAACAACTTCTAGTGACGTTGAATGACGTATCAACTGAAATGATAGAAAAAATGAGAACATTATTTTTTATTGTATGTCATTAGTGAAAGAAGCACTTACAATCTTGTTGTATGTGATTGTTTGTCCATCACGATGAGACAAGACTCATGACAATAACTGATAAGATGAAGTCAATGAGCTCAAAAAATTAAAAACATTATTCTAATAAATAGTTTTTTCTTTAAGATTTTTGAATATGAATGACAAGATCATCAAATGCATTTATGTGATCTTAAATCTCTATGCTAGTTTGTTTTTCATCTTGAAACTTATCAGTTTCAAGATGAAAAACAAAACTCTTTGGGATTAAATCTTCACTTAAGATACACTAATAGTAGAATAAAATCAATATATTCATTTACTTGCTTAGGAATCAAAGAAAGTATATAATATATGACAATACTCACATCCTGTTTTTGGAGATGTATCTAGTGTTGATTGTTATAGATAAACGATTTTGACCTCAACGTCTTGCCAAAGTCCATTGCTTCCGGCTTGACTTTCACTTGCCTCTTTTAGACCAGATAATCATCACTTCCGTTATGGTAAGCATGTAACCAGAAGACAAGAACTCTTGTTTGAACACTATACATTCATACTTATCAACAACCAGCAACAGTCATAGAGATGATTGTTATAGCATGCACAACCTCAACAATAGTGTCTCCGTCTCTAACAACTAGCATGCGTTGTTCGTTCTTCCTATACTCAAACCTTCAATTCGGCATACTAGCAAACTCACGGTAACAACGATTATTTTTTGACATTCTCTATGAAAACTACAATTCGTTAGACATGTCGCTCTGTAATCAATTCTTACGGTCAAAATCACAAAATCCAAAAATACAAAAAAATCAAAATAATATTATTGTGAGAACACCATGGAAAAACCGTTGTCAAGGTGGCGGGCTAGGTTTCGCCACTTTTAGATGGTCAACACTGCACACACAAAGTCATCACATCCCACAACTTTTTGATAAGAGTCAATACCAACACATTTGAAAGCTAGGACGATTTTTGAAATTTCTCATTACTAAATTTTCAATTTAATAAACTGAATCATTTGAGTACTGAATTTGCAAGGTTGTGCATTTAGAACAGTAAAGTCATATAACTCTATTGATCCAAGAGAGTAAACTTATTAGCTGAAGGATCTAATTGAATTACCAAAGATATGAAACTATCTTAGAATGAACTCATGACCATTAATGTGTAGGAATTGATAGATGTGACGAAGATAATTGACTATGTTGGATACTTCTAGAAAGTGTAACTGTCTTGCAGTATCTATGTTATATATAGATCAACATTTTTCTATTATGCATATAAGATTTGACCGTTATATGTTGTTAGCATGGTGCGATGAAAGATCTAGAGCCTTTTTAGACTCTGGGTTGTCAAGAATGGATGCTAATACTGCAAACGATATGCTACTTTTTACCGATGTTAGCGGCGATGATTTTTTCGCATAAATAGTGTGAACAGTACTTTCGCACCCGCGCGAATTAGTGTGACCACTGTATATCCTCGTTGGGGCCTTATGATCGGACACCGCCGGCATATCACTTTGGAAGTGTAATTTAAAAAAAACACTTATCATCTAAGGACACTGAATTATGAGGAAAAAAATTTAGATTCTGTACTAAGATTGGGATGTGTCATAAGATATAAACACCAAACATAATTTCTGGATTTCAAAACAGCGTATATAAGAGAAATAAAAATTGATCATACAAATCAAGATTCATATTATACAAATTATTTCGTTATTTTATAGTAGGTAAATTTATTATTCTTAGTGTGACTGAAAATTATAGCAATTTTTTTGCTGCATTCATATTCAGTTCTAACACATATAACGAAGAGAACATACAACACTTATCGGGGACCTTGGTAATCTAAAGTTTTTCTGCACTGACCTTGTAATACGATAAGAGGTTAATATTGCAAGCAATAGAGCAGATTCAGTCTACTCATTGAGAGAGACATGCACTCGCACAGCGCGAGGATAATTAGATCTTACAGTAGAAGTATCTACACAAGTCCTGATTAGTCGTCTCTTAGCACCTGCGAAATTGGAGTCGATATGCCGGAAGCTGTATACCATGGGATTCCCGAGCTGGTCGGGTTTCCATCACCATAGACGAAGTCCACATTAGAAATGGATCAGGCCGACTGATTAGAATACATGCACAAATCTTCATAAATTCGTGGTAGACAAACATTGTTTTATGTTCGTGATCTGTATGGGATGCCTTTCTGAGAATCTATGCGGACACGACTCCTCAAGTTGTAAGACAAAGTCACAATCTAGTCTGGCAGAATATGCGTGCTTATTTGGCCTGGCAGCACGCTGGGCTACATCAATCCAGAGGGCAGGAGTGAGGTTTGGGGTCTTCCATCTCTTCCAGCTTGACATCACTTTAATCTTGTGCACGTCGAGGTGATGACTTCAATTCTCTTGAGGCTGACGACTCTCCGTCGTAAACGATGACAATCGCAATTCTCAATTCTACACGGTGTATACTGTCTAGAATTGCGAGTGTCATCAATTGCGTACAAGCCCCCGTTGGTATGTGAACTCAGAGTACGAGCTGTTTTTCATCGCAGGAAGGCAGGCAGAGAGAGTGAGAGAGGGAGGAAGGAAGGAAGGGTGTTAACAGAAAATATTGTGGCGACTCTGGGTTGCCCCCGGATAATAGGAATCGAACTCTGGGACTTTGTTGCAGTTTGTAGCACAACTGTATATAACAGTATTACAGCAGCGTAGCACTCGCTTTTGCTGTTTATTGCAGCACTTGCTGACACTTTGTTCAACATTTTGATTGTAGACACTTTGTTCAACATTCTCACCGCTCTATCAACGCGATCAAGCCTTACAAGCATAGCTTCAGTGTGGTTGATTGTAGCTGTTGCACATGATCCGTAGCTACCTGCTCATAATTTGATTTGCTCTGGCTGTTTCTTTTCAAGCAGTCACGGAGAAAGTCCAAGCTATGTGAGGGACAGACTAGACTGTGGAGGCAATTAGAAGTCGCAAGATCTAAAATTTCGTTGCATTATGTAGCGTGACATTGTTTGACAATTTTACAAGTTCCTTCTGTCTTACCTCCTCTTTTGTTCTTAAGTCTTGTTCTTTTCTTATCTTACACCCTCGTTTCAGGGTTCCTCTGCTTTGTTCATGCTATCCTTTCACAAATCATGTGTGCAGTAAATTAGGTTCATCGAAGAAACTCTGCCTGCATTCTATCTGATTTCGACGAACCTAGTGAAGATTATCCATAGTGGCAAGTGCACCCGCAGGGAGTAAATCGGTGTTATGAAGTGCGCCGCAGTTAATGGTCTGACTCTGCTGCTCTCCATCCAGTGGGAGATGTCTGATGTGTTATCACAGTCACTGTGCCAGTGCCTATCAGGAAGTCTTTATTTGCATCTGCTTCAGCTTCTCGAACATAGTTCACCAGGAGCGGCTGTATTTGACATGCGCTGCAATTTACAGACACCTACAGACACCTATTCCTTTTTGTTGTCATGGAATGTGATTAGCCTTCGTTCATCCGAAGCAATCAGGATGCAAAACATTCACGGTTCGAGATTTGTCACATGCCTCGGATAGAGGTCCAGGAGAGGACGTCTGCGCGTTGTACCCATACAGACCTTGGCCAATTGATGAGCAGTACAAAAGGCTGTAACTGCGCATGATGCTGATCGGTTCATCGACAGAGCACCCAGGAGCATCTCTCAATTTCGCATTCAATTCTGCCTCCGTGAGATTCCAATCGTGATGGACCTCGAGTACACAAACTAGATTTGTATCGCGATCTAGGCATGCTGCCGGATCTTCAACACCAAAGCGGTAATGACCTGAGCGAATCATGCACCGATGGGACATACTTCAAAGCATCTATCTGAGCGATGCGTCCAGAGGACAGGCAATATATACTGGTGCCCTGGCCTGGAGAGTCCAGAAAGTTCTGAAGAGGTTGCGGCTGGAACAGTTGAGGTTTTTGTTGGCTTGTTGACTTTCGGTCAGGTAAGCCTAATGATTTAGCATGATGTTTGAAAGCCCCAGGTCTTTTGCCAGTCAGTCGTGCAGACTACACCTGCAATCAAGCAGGTCGCTTGTCACCTGGTATCACGGCTCACCTTGCTGTTGTTGAGGTTATGTGACTTAGGAGGCAGGGCCAGCTGAGATTCCTGTCTTTGACCGGGTCTTCGAGACTCGCCAGAGCATCTGAATCCTGGAATTGTGATATTCTAAATACATGTGCTTTGTGCAGTAGACATAGTGCCGAGTCTCCATGCAGCTGGCTGGACAATATTTTACTGTTTTTGTAGTGGAGCCACGGAACAGAAGTCTCGGCCACGAGTAGCTACGCTTGCACAGCCAAAGACCTGGCATTTCTTAGTTGGGAGATGAGAAATGGTGTCCCACTTGCACCATGTAGCCCTCCCCAGATCCTAAGCTGCAGGAGAAAATTGTTAAACAAATCGTTTGCACCAATTGGGGCTGCACAATTGTATCCATGCGAGGCTGAAGTGGGACCTCGACAGCTTTGGCGATCGTGTCCGGAATATTTGACATGATTCCATGATATATAAGGCGCGCATGGCCTGGTTCAATTCATCCAAACATTCACAAGTTCAGCTAGTAGTTGTCTCCATTTCGCTTCAGCAGCAGCACTCAGGCTTCCCTCTGACCTGAGGCAGCTGCTTAACTTCACGGTGAGCGCAGATCCTGGTTCCCAGACGATGCCAGCTGCAATTTCCTCAAGCCGTCTTAGCATCGCTGCAACATCAAGATCTACTTTTGGAGCTTGTGATTTCATGTAACAGTCAATTGTAGTACACCAGTGCATGTGCCCACGGAAGTACGAGAAATTGTACTGTCAGGGGATGCAGGTTTTCTGATGCTATATATTGACGTGGAATTGTTTCGAATCCCAGGTCTTAGTTCACAAACATGGCGACAAGATCCTCGTCCTCGGTTCTAGTTTTTGTTGGACTTGCGGTCCTGCTGGCGGCTGTTGCCGATGCTCAGCTTTCCGAAAGCTTTTATGCCAGGACTTGTCCTGGCGGCGTGCAAGCTGTAGCCAATGTCGTCAACAACGCTGTTCGTAACGATAGAAGATTCGCAGCAGGACTTCTCCGTCTCCATTTCCACGATTGCTTCGTTCGCGTGAGTAGCTGACGTGAATACCTTTGTGTTGGATTTACAATTGAGTGCCAAAGAGGAATCCGGTTTGAGCACCAGAGTTGAATCTTCCGCAAGTTTCTTTCCATCTTTCGACCTGATGCAAATCATGTGTCCAAAGCTTGGCAATCAATAAGGAGATTCTGTGGGCCATGTTTTCTTCGCAGGGATGCGATGCCTCTGTACTCTTGAACTCCGCATCCAGAAATGCAGAGAAGGATGCTCCACCCAATCTTACTCTCCAAGGATTCGCTATCATCGATCAGGCCAAGGCAGCTCTTGAGAGAACATGCCCCGGAGTTTTCTCATGCTCTGACATCCTGGCGCTGGCTGCGAGAGATGCCGTCAGCTTCGTGAGCCCCTGAACTCACGATCCTTCACTTCGAAGCCCTTTCACGAGAAGCAACAGTAAGAATTTGCGACTTTTATTTTTCGAAGACTTAGTAACTGACGACGCAATTCGTCCTGGATGTAGATTGGAGGACCCAGGTGGAGAGTTCCCCTCGGGCGCAGGGATGGATCCATTTCTCGTGCTGCCGAAGCAAACTCCCAGCTCCCGACTACTAGGATGGGCTTCAGGGCGCTTGCTCAGAACTTTGCTCGCAAGGGTCTCAGCGAAAGCGACATGGTCATCTTGTCAGGTAAGGAGAATTGCATGAGATTATCACGAGCATGTCTTGATAGTTTTGCAGTCCAGTGCTCGCTATGGGACTTGAAGACAGAGCTCCAAAGCTTGTGAACGCGAAGCTGATTTGGTGTGTGACATGCAGGCGCGCACACCATCGGTCTCACCCACTGCCGGGACGTGACTCCGCGCATCTACAACTTCGCCGGCAGCCGCGACGGTGCTGACCCTTATCTGAACAGGACCTACGTGACTGAGAAGAGGAGAGCGTGCCCCAACACCAGAGCTGCAGCAGGCAACTTCGTGAACCTCGACTCCAGCCTCGGAGGCCAGCGCTTCGACAAGAACTACTACGAGAACGTTCTGAACCACAAGGCCGTCTTCAACTCCGACGATGCTCTGATCGCGGTGGCTCGGGGTCTGAACCAAGTGCGCAGCATCGTCAGGAATCCTCAGTCCACCTTCTTCTCTCAGTTCGGAGCTGCCATGGAGAAGATGGGCAGAATCAGCGTCTTGACCGGCTCACGAGGACAGATTCGCCGAACCTGCTCGAGGACGAACTAGATCTTCCTTCCAGTGTTCATCTTTTTTCTAGCTTTGATTTCAACCATTCACCAACTACTTCATCGAACGATGAGGTTTCTCACTTATCTGAAAAAGTAAATTGTGTGTATATTCCTCTTAGTCCAAGGCCGAGGCGTGCAGATTTCCTATTGAGAACTAGTGAAAGCTTGAGCCCGAGAGGACACCGGTGCGAACTTCTACACTCCTGTCGATGGATCTACGCGAGACAAATGAGGCAGGCAGGCAGGCAGCGATAGAGAAGGAGTGCGTGTGGGTGTCCTCGACGATTGCATTTTGTGCTCGGAGTGTGGGAGAAGAAATCTCCCTTCGTATATAAAAACCACAACAACAGAATTTTGGCTCCATGAATGAGGAGTAACAGATATACAGTGTTCACAGCATTAGAACCAGGCCCAAGGTAGGACTAGATTTGATACTTAGGCTAGCAGAAAACACCATTCATTTCAATCATTGAGCATACTTAGGAGTTTACTGTGCTATTCTATGCTATTAGCATATGAGCAGATCTAAACATCCTGCCATTCATGTCGTGATTGACACAACATTTTTTGGAAGGTTTCAAGTAAATTATACTTTCCCTAAAGCGGTACCATTGTCGCGCTTATCCTGAACTCATTCAGACGATTGACACTGTTGAGTTCACACATGGCTAGCTGTCCCAGCGTCTCCCCAGCCGCCGCAAGTGATGAGTCCAGAGTCCGTTGACATTTGGTTTTCGATCCCTTTCCCCTGAGACTTCTCCATGATTCGAAGGAAATTGAAGATCACAAGCCATCGTTGGGAGCTGCAAACGATCTGGATCCTCGGGATCCGACTTAGCGTATCCACCTTCGATACTGTCCGCGTGATGTGTGTGTAACAGTACGGGGGTGGAGTCCACGCGTTTACGAATCTAAGTCATAGGTTCTGTAGAGCCGACAAGTTTGAGCGAATTGCAACAGTCCATGAACACCGGCTTTCAATTTATAATTCGCAGAAAGTATCCACAGTTTTCAATCGAGTTTTAGTGCCCATCCCTTCGTCCTGGAAGGTGTACCTTTACAGCTTCTTCTCTCCACAACACCAATTCTTTGCGAGAAGATCAAACACAATGGTTCTCTCGACAAGTTGACTTTCGGCTCACTAGTGATTGTCCAGGTGAAAATAAGGCAACTTTGTCCTGTCACAAATCCGCAATCTCATCTCGATTGACAAGGATTTTCAAAACATGTGAGAAACATGGAGTTCATACAGAGTCTATACTTCAGAAGCTATGCACGAATATAAGTCTCTCAGGATGGACGATAATCTCAAGTGACTTGGAAGATTATATAGGACTTCGAATTTGAAACCGTTTCTCCTTTTGTCATGATGACTATTGTGAATTAGGTGCATTCCAAGTTGGACTGCAGTATCGTAGATGGCGGCGTAAGGCTCATAATTTAATTCAGATGGAAATCAGAGTACTTTACCATTCTAGATGCTTGAACTCCTTGCACTGTCCCTTGAGTAGATCATGTCAATATTGAAGGTTGCACTAAATGTAGACTTACAGCGAAAAGTCGAAGGCTAAGGTGGAGATTGATTGATTCTGATAGATTCTGTTTGACTAGGTTCTCGAACTCGAAGAAGGGATATGAATTACTGACCACCTGAATTCATTGCAGTATAGAATCTCATATCTACCTATATTTCCACCAAACGAGGAGTGCATGGCTGAAACAAGGCTATTTCTCGGAACTGGCAGTTGGATTAGTTCTCTTTAGTTCTCTTCAGTTGACTCACAGGTCATAAGAACACAGTACTATTATTTTGAAGTAAGTGCTAAAGAATCAGCTCAGCCTAAAATCTACGTAATAAAGGCCGAACCTATCAATAAGAATATTGTATCGAGTGCGTAGAATATGCAGGAGGTTAGTTTTTCTCAGTTTATTGAAACTACATATCAGTGGTCGAGGCTACTTCCCCTTAGAACTGTCAACTTGTCGGTAGACGTTGAAATCTCTACGAGCCAAAACCTTTATGAGACAGTTCATACATCACAGCACCATCTAACTCAGCGAATGAACGTACACGAGAGCATCATGAATATCTGGGTTCAACTGATTGATTACATCCAGATCCAGAAATATAGAAACACTATATGGAAGAAGTTGTGTAGAAAAGGTTTGACGTTAGCTGGACTTTCGTCCCGAAGTCTTCGAATCTATCTATTTCGGGAGCGTTACTTGACCAACATCCGGGCTTGCAATTGAACCCACGACTGGAAATTTGCTGTGCACAGCGGTTTGTCCGGCAATCTCTGAGCTGGGTACGGAAAATATTGAAGAAATTGTCAAACCATGTGGTAACGCTCATTGCGGTTCGTATTTTGCAGCTGCTTGCAACTGTAGTCATCGTCGACCCATGTGCGGACATCTGTGACGTAAAACTATTGCCTGCCAGACTCACACGTGTACGTGAAGGGCAGTGAACCTCGCCCTTCAACTGTTGGAAGAGTTCCTGAGACATGCAGTCAATATCATTCGACTTCGCCTTGGGCACATCACAGTAGTGCTGAAGAGGATGTCCAACACCTCTATGTCGTTCGCGCCGACATTGCAAGTGCTTTGAACAGCGGCAGAGGTTGTTCCTGGATTTCCGAATGATACCCTCTGAACGTGATGTGTTATGGAGAAAAATCTCCATAACAGATTTACATTATATCATGGTCATTGTCTGAGCAACTAATGGCACCTCGAGTAGTGCTACGGAATGAATATTTATTTCAGATGTGCACTTTTTGACAGCTTCCTGTTCGTCCCTCTTCTTTTGATGATTATTCTAAGGCATTATGCAAGCTGATCCTTCTTGCTGTCGACATGACCTTACAGAGAAAATCTTCGTGCTCGGAGATCACGAAAGCATTCTCATGCTTTTGAAAGAGAAGAGAATCGGCGAAGGGGCACCAGCTAATGTAATGGTTGTTGTTCTTGATGTATGTACTTAGCTTTTGTCAACCGTCTTCTGCCAAAAACATCATACTCGAATCTGATTCTGATCTGGAGAGTTCATGAGAGTCACCGTCAGTTCCTACGTAATTATGACGCCTGATCGATGAGATGACTTGACTGAGTCATGACACGCAGTTAAAGATGCACCACCTCGGTTTCCGCGACGAGATTTAGATGCCCCTCGCCATTCGGTGCAGCTGCTTCGTGGTAACTGCAACAGAAGCAAGTAGTGCACTGTAGCATGCGATGAGATTGTCATTGCAGAACCATGCAAACTGTACATGGGTGAAACTTGCTGTAAGAACGGGACAGAAGAAAATTGTAAGCCACTTAGAAATCCACCCATCATCGGATTTTAGAGCTAATTTCTATCAGTACCAAATTTCGCGAAACCACTGATAAGTTTTGCAATTTGTACCACTTACGAACGCAAGTTGAAATCGGCTCTAGTTCACAAATACATAGCTCACGGAAGTTCACATATACATATCGTCTGCACATTCCTTGAAACCATGATTCAAATTACTCGGGCTTTGTCATCATCTTAGAATGATAAGAGTACACCTTCGTCTGGTTACCTCTGTTCTATCTGCCAAAGAATTGGAAATATTGAGGTCGCGCATAATGGCAATCTATATTTGATAGGTGAGGTTGGCCTGTCTAAGAGTCAGAAAATAAGAGAAAGTAACCAATTTTGACAAGGACGTATATGAGCAGGGTGATCAAGCATATTTAACTTAGATGCAATTTAAGTGAACCCACGGTCTTGATCTATTTTCCATCTGCTATCAGACATATGCGATGTCAGACATTGCAACCCAAGACCTGATGACGGCTACCGGCTGAACTGTATATATATATATATATATATATATATATATTTATTTATTTATTTTTATTTTTATTTTTTTTCTATTTACTTCTTTTGCACATGAAGAGATCAAATCTAGCCGAGGTGTGATTCGATACAACAATGTACTGTAGTCATTTGTTTTGAGGGTCAGCGCCTTCAAACATTGATCGAGACAGCGTGTTTTTCTTACAAGTTTAAGAGGGCAGATTTGGTGAGCAGTACGCTTTTTTTTGCATGTATTTTTTCGAAGGACGTGATCCTTCAGTAGAAGTAGCCCGTGGAATGTATGGTCCTTCCTTATTAAATTAAAGACGACATGAAGTGAGTCCTTGAGTGCAGCTCAGTCGTTGAAAATTCCAACTGGGCCTGCCTCTACTGTACAAGATGAAGCCTCTCAAAGGTGCAAAGATGCAGAGTTGAGCCGACTGGCTAATATTTGATTAGTGAAGCTAGCCAATCAGGTGTACGAAAGCAGCATGTGTTCGTAGATGCAACCATGGACCTTTTCGGCTCAATTCAAAAACCAGGCACGTGTTATGTGCAGTCAGGCTGGATAGGAGTCTGAGATCCCCGGATGTAGGAAGAAAAGACTCTACCTCCTCATTGTGCAGGATTTATCTCGGGTCAGTGGCGATTGGACCGGACAATGGTTTCGACACATATAAGAAGTAGGCCGAGAAGATCACAATCATCGGATCATTCACAGTTGACCTCTCCGAGGCTTTTAGCACAAGCAGCTCTCAGTCCCAGCTTCTTTCAAGCACGGCTGAGCTAGCTGCTTCACATCACGGTGAGTAAAGGATGAACCGATTCTGTTAGTTGACGTTATCGACTGGTACTTCTCACCTTCTGTGAATTCGGATACTTTTACGACTTGCAAATACTTCTAAAATCAACATCTACTTTTGCTTATGAAGTTTCTGACAGTACTTCGTCCTTGTTCAGATACATTTTAGACTAGATTCAATTTTGCGACGAAGATGACGTCTCCAATCTACCTTTCCATTGGACTGGCAATTTTGTACGCTGCCACGGCAGACGCGCAGCTATCTCAGAGCTTCTACGCAAAGAGCTGTCCCGGTGGTGTGCAAGCTGTTGCCAACGTGGTCAGCGCGGCTGTTCGCAGTGATAGAAGAAATGCCGCCGGCCTTCTCCGATTGCATTTCCACGATTGTTTTGTCAATGTAAGGTTTTGTTGCTTCGAATCTACCAGAATTCTCTATTCAAGTGATCATGACTCAGCCACATGGTGAACATTCTAGACTTCCAGAGTCTTCAATATGCAAAACTTCCTATGTCGAATTGTCAGCTCGTCAAGTCATGCAGCCATTGGTGACACCGCTAAAAACTAATTTTTTTTCTGCTGCAGGGATGCGATGGATCAGTGCTTCTGGCTTCAACTCCTGGAAATAAGGCAGAAAAGGATGCACCACCAAATCTTTCACTCCAAGGATTTGGAATCATCGATCAAGCGAAGGCGGCAATAGAGAGAACCTGTCCCGGTGTTTTCTCGTGCTCCGATATCCTGGCCCTAGCAGCAAGAGATGCCATCGCCACTGTACGTTCTGCTCTAACCTTCTTCCTTACATGTCGAGTTTCGAGGTAGACCACGACTGACTGTGTTTTAACAGAGACATGTGTTTCAAACAAGTGGTGTGACTCCTCATGGCTCCATGGGGAAGTTGTTCTTCTTCTTCTTTCTGGGTTGCTATCACCTACGATAGCCACTTCGGTTCCGTGGAGTCAGGTGTCTCAACTGTTCAACTGATGTGATTGCAGATTGGAGGTCCAAGCTGGACGGTTCCCCTCGGTCGAAGGGATGGAACCATTTCGCGCGCAAGTGCCGCGTCTAGCAATCTTCCGGGTGACGGGTTCAGCTTCAGGCAGCTTCTTCAGAACTTCAACAGCAAGGGCCTCAGCCAATCGGACTTGATAGTCCTTTCAGGTGGACTTAGGAGTATTTCTGAAATGTCAAAATTCCTAATGAGTCGGTTTTGATAAGATTCAACCAGGTCTAGACCGCCAGCAGAATATGCAATTCTTCCACAAATCTTGATCTTGCACTAAAATGTGGGTATTTGTGCGATCCAGGTGCCCACACAATCGGACTTACCCACTGCAGCAAGGTCACTCCCCGCATCTATAACTTTCCCAGAAGCGCGAGTGGTGCCGACCCTTATCTCAACACCACTTACGTCAGGGAGAAGAGAGGAGTGTGTCCCAACTCCGCCAGCAGCGCCAACAAATTCGTCGCTCTGGATTCAAGCAAGGGAGGCCAGACCTTTGACATCAACTACTTCACTAACGTTCTGGACCACAAGGCCATCTTCAAGTCGGACGATGCTCTCATCTCCACAAGCAGCGGTTTGAAGCAAGTGCTGGATCTTGTTCGATCCCCGAGCTCGAAGTTTTTCAGCCAATTCGGGCTGGCTATGCAGAAGATGGGAAGGATTCAGGTTCTGACGGGATCTCAGGGAGAGATCCGCAAAGTCTGCTCCAAGAAGAACTAGAGCATAAGCTGAAAATTGTTTCTTTGAGTTGTAAAACTTGTTTAGGGGACTCAGACTAGACTCTTCTTTATCAAATCACTTACGATTGTATATGATTAAACGTAGAACTTCCCAATTCTCTTGGTGCAGCTAGTCACTGAGAACTTTGTGATTCAAGACTTCATGAACTGGCGAGATATACGCTAGTGACGTTGGTAAGGGTTTTGTAGCCAGCAGAGTGAGGTTTAGTACTGAACCTCAATCTAAAGCAGTGATAAGTAGGACTTTAATCGCGATCTGAGAGAGTTCTAAATTAGCTAGGCAATATTACGAGTTATCTGGAATTGTTAGAAAGGGTAGAAATGAACATTGCATTTGTCTCACATGAAATTCTTCAAGACCTTGGGAAGATAGTCTGTTGTGCTTATAATGTACCAGGCGGAAATTCCTGCAGGCACCATTCTTTGCTTCGATTAGTTTTTGAGATCGAAGCCCACCATTGATCACTTTCATAGAGCTTTGAAGCACATAATAAACTGACATAAATCTTTTCGCACTGCAAACTTGTAGAGCAAAATGATTGAAGTCTTCATCGAGACTTATCTAGTCTCGTTGTTTCATTCTATGGTGGAACTACATTGTGCGGGTTGTATTCTCCAACAGTCAGTCTGATTCTCGATGTGTTGATTTTGCAATGGTCGCCAACGACTTGTTGCCATGTTCACGTCTTTGTCTTTCATTGTAACTTCGAACTGCCCCTTGCAAGGTGCACTGACTCGGTGGACTTTATCTTGCCGGGCAAGGGTCGCTGTTTAGTAAATTAGAGTACCATAAAAACAGCGAGACTAGCGAACACACTATTTGATTCATTGCCTTCTGCAGTTAGGCTCATGAATAGAGTCAATGGTGAATGCAATTTGGTACCATGAAAAAGTTATTTTTGGGTAGATAAGGTGCCCAATATCCTTGTCGAAACAAGTATTTCTCAAATTTCAAATAATTCACTCAAATGTAGCTTAGCAAAAAATATTATAAAAGAATTGACATCTACAAATTGATGACCAGAATACGACCTCGAATTTATCTTTTCTTTTCTTGATACGCTTCCACTTTAGTTGTACTTGACGACAATCTTTTGAAAACATGCCATTCTTGAATGGAACGTCTCTTTCCACATGCTAGTTAAAATGAGCCAGCCAAATCTTAAGCCAGATCTCCACGTTTAATTGTATAATATTTTAATAAGATATTCTATCTTCTGGTATTCGTAATCTTACATGTGTTTTTGAGCATTTTTCCAGTCTCAATTTTTTCAGAATTTCTTCATAAGTTTGTGTAGTTATCTAACAACCCCGTTTGAATCTCACTAAAAATCAAGTAAAAAATATATCATGATATCTATCAAAGATAATCCTTGAATTTTTTCAATTTCTGTTTGCAAAATGGTTATTTTGAAAAAATACCATCTTAAAAAATCTTACACATATTTTTTTGTGAGTTGTTCTCAATTCGAAATATATTGTCATCAAATATATATAAGTAAAAGAATATTAAGACTGCGTAACTGCTAGCCTTTTCACATTTTTACGCAAAAATTGCTCGATTGATTTTTTATGAAATATTCTCGGTCAATGTAACAGCTAGATTCAGTAAAGTATCAAATTTTACTCGTTTGACATTATTTTTGAACATTAATTAAATTAAGTGATAATTTATGTTAATTTTTCTTTAGATTATTAAATTGACCTCAAGATATAATGTAGTTTGTTTATTATATTTCGATTTCAATCATTTTTTCAAATAAATTGATTCAACCATATACGTGTAAGCATTAATTGAATTCGTTTATAAATTCTAGTATGAAAATCAGTATAACTTTGTGCAAATTTGGCATACTTGATAACATCATCAATTAAAAAAATTTTATTTTTAAGTTACATAAGAATACATCTTATCATTTTTCATTGCACATATCCAAAATTTAAGATTAACCTAACTTGCGAATATAATAATAGCTAAAGATAATTGGTTCTAGTGATCATTTGAAGAGGACTGAGGCTATGTAATGATTTTTATTAGTTTATTCACGACATCATTTTTCTTTCAAATTTTCCCATTGTGTTTTGGAAAACTAAACATGTATTGTAAAAAATATCCAATCTTTTTAAAGTTTTAAAATGTTACATCACGTTGAATATATTTGCATTGAGTTTAAAATCTTCCAATTTGAGTTTAATCTTTATGAATATCTATTTGAAATATTATCTTGGATTTCTTCAAATTTTTCATCTTGAATGTAGATTTTAGTTGAATTTCTATTAAAAAATTCTAAATTTTTGATTTCACGCAATGAACCTTTGAAAGGTTAATCCAACATAATCGATGCAAAATGTCTCAAACGATTAACCTGGATCTTTTCAAAACCAAACGATGACCATGTAACAACACAAATTTTGACCTGAATCCAACTTTGTGATTTGACTTGCACATTTCTCTTTTGAAAATACCGAGTTGTATACGGAGGAAAATAAAAAATCTTCCTACTATGTTAGTTATGATCACACAGTAGATACAAGTTGGAAGGAAGTTAGAGGTTACTTAGGACTACATTTTCTCGCTCATCAAGTGTTGAAGTGTGCACAAGGTAGACATATTAGAAAGATATGTAGGTGGGTGTATTTTATTGATGGAGGTGAGATATTCTCAGAAGAGTCTTTGGGCCCAATCGCTGAGACATGATGAAAATGGGGCAGAATATTCTTTATCCTTTCTAGTTTATCTTACGCCCAAAGGTAGTGGCTAAATGTGGTAGAGAGAAAGTTGTATGATATACATATATCTGATATCAAAAGTATCTCATGATTTGTTCGGAGGTTCAAATTTCAAGGTGTTCAAAACATGTTGTGCTTTGTGGAGGAAACATGTGAGACAGGAGCAGAAGTGGAATTTGGATGAATTACTGAGTACATAGATCCCAGCAAGGAGACATCCCCTAGACTAGATCTCAGGTGGAGAATACTCGATATGGGCGATATCAGAGAAATGCGTTCCAACCCCAGATCTGAAGAACAGTTCACGCTAGACAAATACACATTACCGGCTGTAATGTGTATTTGCAATATATATATATATATATATATATATATATATTTCTTTCTTTATTTATTCTACAAGTCAAGAGATAAATCAAGCCGAGGAGTGATTTCATAACCTGAGTCTAATCATTCGTTCTGACATTGATAAAAACTGCGTGTTTTTAGTACATACTCGAGAGAGCAGATTCGGAGAGCAGTATGCATTCCTCCGAGTACAGTAAGGCATAATGCCTCTTGCACCACAGAGATGAGGGCAGTTAGATTCTCTTAAACACCAGCCAAGGTATACATACTGATCTTGACGCATAATATATGTCACTGCAGGGAGAATTGAGGTCGGTGGAATCTATGCCTGCATGTCTTTTTTGGAAGTTCGCCATCGCTGACTTGCACTTGGAATGTATGGTGTTTCCCTTCTGGATTATAAAGCACATGAAATGATTCTTTTAGCGCGGCTCAGTCCTCGGCCTGCTTCTACTGTACAAGTTGAAGCCTGTCGAAGGTGCAAACATGCAGAGTTGTTCCGGCTGGCTGATGTTCATAAATTTAAGCTGGCCAACAACCTGTCCGCAAGCAGCCTGTGTTCGTGGACACAACCATTGAGCTTTTCGGTAAGATTCCAAGACCAGGTGCTATCTGCAGTCAGGCTGGATAGAAGTTCCAGATCCCCAGATGGAGGAGGAAAAGACTCTCACTCCTTGCTTTGCAGGAATTATGCCGGGTCAGTGGCGACCGGAGTCGGACCATGGATTCAACACCTATAAGAAGATTGCAATCATCGGATAATTCACAGTTGACCTCTCCCAGGCTTTCAGCACCAGCAGCACTCAGCCCCAGCTTCTTTCAAGCTCGGCTGAGCTAGCTGCTTAACAACACGGTGAGCAGAAGGGTAACCAATTCTCATACTGGTATTTCTCTACTGGTCCCTGTACTCTAAGGTGGATTCAAACTTCTCATGACTTGCTCATACCTCTATAATCAGCATCTACTTTTGCGTCTGAAGGTTCTGACTGTACTTCGTTCTGTTCAGATAAACTTTAGACTAGATTTAGTTTTCAGGATGAAGATGGCGCCCTCAATCTACCTTTCCATTGGACTGGCAATTTTGTACGCTGCCACGGCAGACGCGCAGCTATCTCAGAGCTTCTACGCAAAGAGCTGTCCCGGTGGTGTGCAAGCTGTTGCCAACGTGGTCAGCGCGGCTGTTCGCAGTGACAGAAGAAATGCCGCCGGCCTTCTCCGATTGCATTTCCACGATTGTTTTGTCAATGTAAGGCTTTGTTGCTTTGGATCTATCAGAATTCTCTATTCAAGTGATCATGGCTCAGTCACATGGTCAACATTCTAGACTTCCAGAGTCTTCAATACGCAAAACTTCTGATGTCAAATTGTCAGCTCGTCAAGTCATGCAGCCATTGGTGACACCGCAAAAACTAATTTTTTTTCTGCTGCAGGGATGCGATGGATCAGTGCTTCTGGCTTCAACTCCTGGAAATAAGGCAGAAAAGGATGCACCACCAAATCTTTCACTTCAAGGATTTGGAATCATTGATCAAGCGAAGGCAGCATTAGAGAGAACTTGTCCCGGTGTTTTCTCGTGCTCCGATATCCTGGCCCTAGCAGCAAGAGATGCCATCGCCACTGTACGTTCTGCTCTGACCTTTTTCCTTACATGTTTCGAGGAAGACAACGACTCACTGTGTTTTAACAGAGACATCACTTACGTGTTTCAAACAAGTCGTGTGACTCCTCATGGCTCTATGCGGAAGCTGTTCTTCTTCTTCTTTCTTGGTTGCTATCATCCTCGACAGCCATTTGCGTACACTGGCTTCAAGCTTTTCAACTGTGCAATTGATATGATTGCAGATTGGAGGTCCAAGCTGGACGGTTCCCCTCGGTCGAAGGGATGGAACGATTTCGCGCGCAAGTGCCGCGTCCAGCAATCTTCCGGGTGACGGGTTCAGCTTCAGGCAGCTTCTTCAGAACTTCAATAGCAAGGGCCTCAGCCAATCGGACTTGATCGTCCTTTCAGGTGGACTTAGGAATTACTCCAAATCTCAAAGTTCGTACTCAAGCATCACAATGATATAATATTTCCCGATGCCATAACCGCCAGGAGAATATGCAATTCATCCACAAATCTTGATCTTGCACTAAAATGTGGGTATTTGTGCGATTCAGGTGCCCACACAATCGGACTTACCCACTGCAGCAAGGTCACTCCCCGCATCTATAACTTTCCCAGAAGCGCGAGTGGTGCCGACCCTTATCTCAACACCACTTACGTCACAGAGAAGAGAGGAGTGTGTCCCAACTCCGCCAGCAGCGCCAACAAATTCGTCGCTCTGGATTCAAGCAAGGGAGGCCAGACCTTTGACATCAACTACTTCACTAACGTTCTGGACCACAAGGCCATCTTCAAGTCGGACGATGCTCTCATCTCCACAAGCAGCGGTTTGAAGCAAGTGCTGGATCTTGTTCGATCCCCGAGCTCGAAGTTTTTCAGCCAATTCGGTCTGGCTATGCAGAAGATGGGAAGGATTCAGGTTCTGACCGGATCCCAGGGAGAGATCCGCAAAGTCTGCTCCAAGAAGAACTAGAGCATAAGCTGAAAATTGTTTCTTTAAGTTGTTAAAGTGTTTTAGTGGACCCAGACTACACTCTTCTTAAGCAAAGCACTTCCCAATGTAAGTGCTTAAGTGTATCACGTCCCAGTTCTCTTGAGGCACCTGGGCATTGAGGACCTCGTGCTTCAGGACTTCATGGACGGGAGCGAGCTCCAAGCTCGCCATTTCGGCGAAGTTTTTTTAACCAACAGGGTGAGCTTTAATAGTGAACCTGAATTCAAAGTAGTGATAAGGAAGAAGTATGTTCGCAGTCTGAGAGAGTTCAAAATTAGCTAGGATATCGTATGAGTTCTCTAGAGTTGTTAGATAGAGGAAAAAGTGAACAAATGGATTAGTCCTATCCAATTTTTTTGAAGACCTTGGGAAGATAGTCTGCTGTACTAATAATGTATCAGTTGGACATTTTCACAGGCAGCATTCTTTGCTTCATTGCGTTTTGAGATCGAAGCCCACCATGAAGCTCGTTCATTCAAGCTTTTATGAAAATTATAAACTGAACTACAGCATTTCGGAATGGAACTAGTAGCTGCAGCATGATCGACGTTTTCATTAAGATTTATCTACTTCTGTGGTTTCATGGTTGTATCATTCTCGAACAGTGAAACTGAATGAAGTAGTGTTTATGTTTGAAATATTCGCCAATGAGTTTTGACGTGTTGAGGTCTCTGTCTTTCGTGGTAACATTACTAGTCCTTGTGAGGTGCACTGATTGAGGTGACTTGAATCTGGGTTCGCTGTTTCTTAGGCTAGAAGATAAAGACCACTTACCTTTAATTTACCTCGTACTGCTGACATCGTACCTCGTATTGCATTCAGTCTCACTAACCAAAACTGTGAGAGAGGCGGCTGGAACTTTGCGCAATGAATCGGAAAATATCCTCTGCCGAGAAGTATGATCTGAACCGTTGAGATATTCTGAAATCAAAGGGGGGGAACACATTTCGAACGCATTCATAGAATTAACCCCCTAAAAATAAAAAGGACTCTGACTCGGACTACTTTAGGAACTTTTTCATGTTTGATTTGCGGAAGTTCCACAGAGTAAAGGTCACCCATCCCAGACCTATTCCGTGCCAAGGGTGCTTAACCGCAGCTTTCTGAGATCTGGGATACACCAGTCCTGACGTGATTGATATCACGTCAAGGAAAGGGTCCCGGGGGGTTCTGTTATCTTAATTATCTCATGATAATTAAGATAACAAAATCATAAATCAATTATTCAATATTTAATTAAAACCAACCAATCAATCCATCGATCATGCAATAAAATGGATTGAAAGAAAAAAATATATATCAAAAGAACTAAATATCAATATATAAAATAAAATAAAAAAATTTTTGCTGTTTATTACAATGTTCAAAATTGAATACATAAAAAATATTTATTGTAATGTAAAGAAAAAAATAATTAAAATGTGAGGACAGACATGCATAAAATATAAATATATACGAAGAAAGAAATACATACATGAAATATAAATATATATGGAGAAAGAAATAAACACATGAAATATAAATATATATAAAGAAAGAAATAAGCATATATGATCTGAACATAATAATATTGAAGAATTTTCATTTTTCATATTTTCATTTTTCTTCAATATTTTTTTCCAAATGTAAGAAATAAGATACCTCATGAGTACAAAAATATAATTTTAAATCAAAACTGTTTTTTAATTCTACGACCATTCATTTTTGTATTTTGCCACTTGTCTTTGCTATCATTCCTCTACTGAAATTTGTCTCGCCACCTCAAGCTTGTGTTAGTTGCCACTTGTCTTACCACCGTTGCTCACAGCTCACTGTTAACAGCTGTTTCGACATTTTTGACAATTTGACGACAAATTTCTCTTGCTAATTTGACTCTCTGTGTACGTAATTTTGCCTTCCTAACTTTTCAATGTGGCACTGAAGATTAGTTTTTGTGAATTCTGTTTGTGCCATATTGGATCTTGTAATCATTCTCAATCTGCACGTATAGTACCAGCAAATTTTCACGTCTTTAATTTTTTCGTAGGGACATTTAATCATCAATTTTAGTCAAATATATCCGTAGTTTTTCACTTCTTAGACTTATTTGGAGCAGATGTATCCATTTATTTGCAACACTTTTTTTTGGCCACTTTGGGCATATTCGCACTAGAAGCATTTTGACACTTAGCTCGTGTTCATATATTTAAGATCTAAAGTATTTCGTGATTTTTTGGGAGCTTCAAATCAGAAGGTGTTCCAAACAATACCAGATGTGGATGAAATAAATACATAATTAAATAAATTAATATATATTCCGGCTTTTCGGTTACTTCTTTTGTACGTGAAGAAGTAACCGAAAAGCCGAGGAGTGATCCATACCTCAGTCGATTCATTTGTTGTGACTGTCAGCGCCTTCTAACCTTGATAAACAAAAAGCGTATGTTTGGTACAAACTTTAGTGAGCAGATTCTGTGAGCAATATGCTTTGCTCGGAGTAAGCCATAATGACTTTAATACTGAACGTGCCGCATTATGTATGTCACTGCAGACAGAATTGAGGTTGAATTGAAGTCGGTGGAATCTAATTCTGAATGTCTTTTTTCGAAGGACCTGATTTCTCACTTGCAGTATCCCTCCGAATGTACGCTCCTTTCTTATTGAATTATAAAGGACATCAAGTGAGTCCTTGATTGCAGCTCAGTCGTGGAAGGTTCCAACTGGGCCAGAGTTTACTCTACGAGATGAAGCTTGTCAATGGTGCATAGATGCAGAGTGCTGTTCCGGCTGGGTTATATTTGAAAACTTATGCCAGCCAGTCACCCAAGCCAATATACACAAGCAGCCTGTGCTCGTCGAGGCAACCATTGAGCTTTTCGGCAAGATTCCAAAACCAGGTGCTATCTGCAATCAGGTTCGATAGAAGTTTGAGATCCCCACATGGAGGAGGAAAGGTCTCCAATTCCTTGGTTTGCAGGAGTTATGCCGGGTCAGTGGCGACTGGAGTCAGACCATGAATTCAACACCTATAAGAAGAATGAAATCATCGGATCATTCACAGTTGACCTCTCCCAGGCTTTCAGCACCAGCAGCACTCAGCACCAGCTTCTTTCAAGCTCGGCTGAGCTAGATGCTCAAAATCACGGTGAGCAAAGGATGAACCGCTTCTGTTACTTCACGGTTTCGAATGGTACTCTTGTCACGACTTGCAGATACTTCTGAAATCAGCATCTACTTTTGAGAATGAGGTTTCTGACATGCCTTCGTTCCTGTTCAGATATAATTTAGACTAGAATTAATAAGATGACGTCTTCAATCTACCTTTTCATTGGACTGGCGATTTTATACGCTGCCACGGCAGACGCGCAGCTATCTCAGAGCTTCTACGCAAAGAGCTGTCCCGGTGGTGTGCAAGCTGTTGCCAACGTGGTCAGCGCGGCTGTTCGCAGTGATAGAAGGAATGCAGCCGGCCTTCTCCGATTGCATTTCCACGATTGTTTTGTCAATGTAAGGATTTTTGGAATCAAATGTACCAGAATTATTCAAGTGGTCATGACTCACTCACATGGTCTAGATTTTAGATTTCCCGAGATGCCAAACTTCTGGTGTCCACTTTGCAGCTCGTAATTGTATGCTGCCACTTGTACAACCGCTAAGAACTCACGAGTCGCTGTCGCAGGGATGCGATGGATCAGTGCTTCTATCTTCGACTCCTGGTAACAAGGCGGAGAAGGATGCACCACCAAATCTTTCACTCCAAGGATTTGGAATCATCGATCAAGCGAAGGCAGCATTAGAGAGAACTTGTCCCGGAGTTTTCTCGTGCTCCGATATCCTGGCTCTAGCAGCTAGAGATGCCATCGCCACTGTATGTTTTGCCCTTACCTTCTTCATTGCATATCTAGTTTCAAGGAAGACCATGACTGACAGTGTTCCTCCAGAAACATGGCTTCCATGCTACAAACAACTTTTCCTGAGGTCTCCATGTGGAATAACTGGAAGGTTTGGAAGCTCTTCATGTTCTCAACTCCTATCAACTTCGATAGCCACTTCCGTTCGCTGGAGTCAGGTATTTCAATTGTGCAACTGATGTGATTGCAGATTGGAGGACCAAGCTGGTCGGTTCCGCTTGGTCGAAGAGATGGAACGATTTCGCGCGCAAGTGCCGCGTCCAGCAATCTTCCGGGTGACGGGTTCAGCTTCAGGCAGCTTCTTCAGAACTTCAACAGCAAGGGCCTCAGCCAATCGGACTTGATCGTCCTTTCAGGTGGACTTGGAGTATTTGTCAAATATCAAAGTTCCTAATGAGTCGGTTTTCATAAGATTCAACCAGGTCTAGACCGCCGGCAGAATATGCAATTCATCCACAAATCATGATCAGGCACTAAAATGTGGTATTTGGTGCGATTCAGGTGCCCACACAATCGGACTTACCCACTGCAGCAAGGTCACTCCCCGCATCTATAACTTTCCCAGAAGCGCGAGGGGTGCCGACCCTTATCTCAACATCACTTACGTCACGGAGAAGAGAGGAGTGTGTCCCAACTCCGCCAGCAGCGCCAACAAATTCGTCGCTCTGGATTCAAGCAAGGGAGGCCAGACCTTTGACATCAACTACTTCACTAACGTTCTGGATCACAAGGCCATCTTCAAGTCGGACGATGCTCTCATCTCCACAAGCAGCGGTTTGAAGCAAGTGCTGGATCTTGTTCGATCCCCGAGCTCGAAGTTTTTCAGCCAATTCGGACTGGCTATGCAGAAGATGGGAAGGATTCAGGTTCTGACCGGATCCCAGGGAGAGATCCGCAAAGTCTGCTCCAAGAAGAACTAGAGCATAAATGGTTTCTTAGAGTAATAAAATTGTTTTCGTGGACCCAGACTAGACTGTTCTTTATCAAAGCGCTTAGAATTGTAGTTGCTGAAACGTATAACGTCCCAATTCTCTTGGTGCACCTGGTCACTGAGGACCTCGTGCTTCAAGACTTCATGAACTAGCCATTTGGCGAAGTTTTTCTAGCCAACATGGTGGGATTCAATACTGAGCGGGAATCAAATCTATTGATATGGAGGAGATTTGGTCGCTAGGACTAAGCTAGCTAGCAAGTTGTTAGTATCTAGTTCTCCAGAGTTGTTAGGAAGAGTAAAAATGAACACTGCATTGGTCTCACACAACATTCTTCAAGACCTTGGGAAGCAGATCTGCTATGCTAATTATGTAGCACGCGGCAGGCACCATTCTTTGCTTCGATTGCTTTTTGAGATCGAAGCCCACAATTGTCACTTTCATGGGGTGTTTTCATGCACATAATAACCCGAATTCCGGCTTTCGCTATGAAGTCTTACAGATGCAGGATGCTCCTGGTCTTTATTGAAATGTATCTACTTCTTGTTGAGTTGTATAGTTGAACTACATTCTCCAACAGTTAAGCTGATACAAGTAGTGTTCATAATGGCAATGTTCGCCAATGGAATTTGACAGGTTGATGTCTTCTTCCTTCTTTGAAAATTATTTCTAATCTTCTAAGGTGCACTGATTGGGTGGACTTAAGCCTGCCGAGCAAGTATCGCTCTTTCGTAAGGTAAAATACCTTGAAAAACATCGAGACCAGCAACCACGCTCTTTCATCTGATGTTCTCTGCAGTTGTGATGATAAAAGTGAAGAGTTCTGTAGCTGACTTACTCTTAGTTCGACGTTGTAATTAGGAATTTAGGACAAAGTATGAGGAATTAAGCTTACGTTAGGATACTAAAAAGCGAAGTGCTACCCACAAAGTTTAACAAATGGCACATGTAGGTTGGAGTTACATACGCTAATGCAAGTTAGGAGCAACAGAAACTAGCACCAGAACAGGCTGAGGTCAAAACTTATGCAACATAGAAATAGCTCAGTAGAGTTAGAGAAGCCGAAGCAAGTTCTGAGGCAGCAGAGAAGGAGAAGGTCTAGGTCAAGTTGCCAAATTCCACGAAGCTGCTCTACGAAGTAGAGATTGAAGAGCCTCAAAGGTTCAACACAATTTTCCGTCAATATTTTGGTTATCTACTCTAGCCGTGTAGCGACTTCAAATTGCAGCAATTGAAGCAAATCAAAGACGTCATGGAGACTCCCGGTAGAGTGTGTTTAGAAGCCACGGGAGATATACATGGCCATGGGGCGTAAGTTTATGGACGCACTAAGGAATTTATGGACACAAGAGCTGAATAAATTCCATGACTTAGAAGCGACCGTGGATGCGTTGGTGTGAAAGGCCGAAGCAGTACCGATCGCGATTCAGGATGATATTAGTGATCTACGGGAAGGAATGTGGAAATGTATCTGTGTTCGATTCTCGAGCCGGATCTAGAAAACTTGTCTTGTCGAAATACCTCAAAGTCTGTTGAAATTGATTACTCAAACAGTACTCTAGGAAGACCTCATGACTTGTTGAAATTTGCGGAAGCTCGAGACCTTTTAGCAGCTAATTGCGTCATTGTGAATTCTGATAGATGAAGTCTTCACTCTGGTAATCATCAAGTTTAGGGTTTAGTATCATTGCGATTCTTCACAATTATTAGAAGATGTTTTATTATTTTGAATGTTGAGAAAATATAAATAATTACAAGTATGATAATAGCATCCAAGAGAAAATAACATCCCATCCATACTTAAGTAGTTTTCACAATATTATATTTTATTATGAAAGATAGTGATTAGATAATTTTCAATCTATTCAAATTAAATTGCAGAATTTTGTACACAAGATTAGATTATTTCTGGAATTTTTCATGTAAATTTAAGATGAATAATTTCAATTTTGTGAATTTTTTTGAAGTTTAAATAATAAAAAATATTTTATGATGAATACACAACTATTAAATACAATCTTTCATTTGAAATTTATTTCTTCAAAAACTGAAAATTTGAAAATAACATACTTTTTCCAATTTAGGTAGAAATAATTAAAATGAAATTGAACATTTCAATTGTTGTTGATACAAGAATTAATAACAAAATGTTAATCAGGTATGATCAATTGAACGCGCAAGTAAATTTACGCCATCTACGTTTCCGCGACTCTATAAAAATGCTGCTCGTCATTAGATGGACCCTAAAAGAACCAAGTAGTGCACTGTTCAAAGAATACGATAAGACTGTGGATGTACAACCATGCATGAACAGAGCTGTAAGAAACGGACAGAAATTTGTAGGCCGCTAAGAAATCCACATACGCCTGGATCTTAGAGCTAATTGTAATCAAATTAAATTTCTTTAAACAGGCGGAATTTGCAACTTGTACGACCTAAGAATGCAAGTTGAAATTGGCAATTCACTTATGAAAAAACAGTTGCAGTGAACTCTGCACATTCTTCGAAACCACGAATTGATTCACTCGGGCTCACTCATCATCTGAAATGAGGGTCTACAATGGTAATATCTGTGTGATAGGTGACATTGACCTGTCCACTAGTCAGACAACGAGAGGAATAGCCAACATTTCGAGCAGACTGATTTAATCAATTGAATTGTATGCAGTCGTGAGATTTTAAACAGGACAGTACCCTTCAGTTCATTGTAGTTGTGTTTAAAACCGGGAACGACGTAAATCGTCTGGAATCTTTATCTCGAATTTGAGGCCGATATCCAGTTCTTAGAGAAGAATTTTCGTTTACTCACTCACAAATTCGGAAGAAATCCTCGCAATCAGTTCACTGACCAAACTGATTCATAGCTAAGAACTGATCCAAGTTGTATAGATTTGCGACTGCCTGACTCCACTCACATCGCACGGATGTCCACCACGCAGTTGCTTATATAATTTCAAAATTTGTTTTGTTTTGAATGGGGAATTCTCGACTCATCCTCCTGTGAGAGAAGCAAACCCTTCTCAGGAGACGGTACTTACTGTACATATATTTGAGATCTAATGTATTTCGTGATATATTCGGAGCGGTTAATTTCGAGTTGTTCAAAAAATGTTGTGCCTTTGGGTGGAGGAAGTACATGAGACAGGAGCAGAGGCGGAAGTTAGATACATAGATGAGTACATAGATCTCAGAGATGAGAGACGTTCCCCTAGACTAGGTATCACCTGGAGACTACCCGATGTGGGTGATATCAGACATGTGCGAATCCACCCTAGCCCTGAAGAGCAGGTCATGCTAGACTAGCAAGCTACCGGGCTGCACTGTAGAGTTCTAATTATAATCCGAGCTTTCCGTTTGAAGAGAACAGATTAAGCCGAGGAGTGATTGCATGCCTAAGTCGTGTCATTCGTCTGACGGTCAGCGCCTTCAAACCTTGATAAAACTGCGTGTTTTTCGGACAAATTTGAAAAAGAAGATTCGGAGTGAAGTATGCATTCCTCAGATTAAGCCATAATGCCTTTTGCACAACAAAGATGAGGGCAGTTGGATCTTGCTGTCTTGTTGGATAATCGAAACCACCAGCCAGGGTATACTGAACTTGACGCATTATGTATGCCACTGCAGACAGAGTTGAGGTCGGTGGAATCTAAGCCTGCATCTCGTTTTTAGAAGAACCTGATCCCTCACTTGCAGCATCCCTTCCAATGTATGCTCCTTTCTTATTGAATTATAGAGTGCTTGAAGTGAGTCATTGAGTGCAGCTCAGTCGTGGAAGGTTCCAACTGGGCCAGAGTTTACCATACAAGATGAAGCCTGTCAATGGTGCATAGATGCAGAGTGCTGTTCCGGCTGGGTTATATATGAAAACTTATGCCAGCCAGTCACCCTAGCCAATATACACAAGCAGCCTGTGCTCGTCGAGGCAACCACTGAGCTTCTCGACAAGATTCCAAAACCAGGTGCTATCTGCAATCAGGTTCGATAGAGGTTTGAGATCCCCACATGGAGGAAGAAAAGTCTCCAACTCCTTGGTTTGCAGGAGTTATGCCGGGTCAGTGGCGACTAGAGTCAGACCATGCATTCAACACCTATAAGACGATTGCAATCATCGGATCATTCACAGTTGACCTCTCCCAGACGTTCAATACCAGCAGCACTCAGCCCCAGCTTCATTCAAGCTCGGCTGAGCTAGCTGTTTAACATCACGGTGAGAAAAGGAGTAACCAATTCTCGTACTGTGATTTTTCGACTATTCCCTGTCATCTAATGTGGATTCAAACTTCTCATGACTTGCTCATACCTCTATAATCAGCATCTACTTTTGCGTCTGAAGGTTCTAACTGTACTTCGTTCTGTTCAGATAAACTTTAGACTAGATTTAGTTTTCAGGATGAAGATGGCGCCCTCAATCTACCTTTCCATTGGACTGGCAATATTGTACGCTGCCACGGCAGACGCGCAGCTATCTCAGAGCTTCTACGCAAAGAGCTGTCCCGGTGGTGTGCAAGCTGTTGCCAACGTGGTCAGCGCGGCTGTTCGCAGTGACAGAAGAAATGCCGCCGGCCTTCTCCGATTGCATTTCCACGATTGTTTTGTCAATGTACGGGTTTTCTGCATCCAACGTACTAGAACTCTGAATCAAGTGATCTTCACTCACTCACATGGTCAAGATTCTAGACTTCACCAGAATTGGAGATGCGAAACATCTGATTTCGACTTGTCAAGTCGTCAATATATGCAATCATTTGTGACACCGCTTTCAACTAAAGCTTCTTCTGATGCAGGGATGTGATGGATCAGTGCTTTTGTCTTCAACTCCTGGAAATAAGGCAGAAAAGGATGCACCACCAAATCTCTCACTTCAAGGATTTGGAATCATCGATCAAGCGAAGGCTGCAATAGAAAGGACTTGTCCCGGTGTTTTTTCGTGCTCCGATATCCTGGCTCTTGCAGCTAGAGATGCCATCGCCACTGTACGTTCTGCCCTTACCTTCTTCATTGCATATCTAGTTTCGAGGAAGAGCACGACTGACTGTGTTTCTGCAGAAACACAGTCATGTAACCACAAACAAATTTTCCTGAGGTCTCCATGTGGAATAACTGGAAGATTTGGAAGCTCTTCTTCTTCTCAATTCCTATCAACTTCGGTAGCCACCTCCGTTCGTTGGAGTCAGGTATTTCAACTGTGCAACTCATGTGATTGCAGATTGGGGGACCAAGCTGGTCGGTTCCCCTTGGTCGAAGAGATGGAACGATTTCGCGCGCAAGTGCCGCGTCCAGCAATCTTCCGGGTGATGGGTTCAGCTTCAGGCAGCTTCTTCAGAACTTCAACAGCAAGGGCCTCAGCCAATCGGACTTGATCGTCCTTTCAGGTGGACTTAGGAATTACTCTAAATGTCAAAGTTCATAGTTAACCATCACAATTATATAATATTTCCCGATGCCATAACCCCCAGCAGAATATGCAACTCATCCACAAACCTTGATCTTGCACTAAAATGTGTTTTGGTGCGATTCAGGTGCCCACACAATCGGACTTACCCACTGCAGCAAGGTCACTCCCCGCATCTATAACTTTCCCAGAAGCGCAAGTGGTGCCGATCCTTATCTCAACACCACTTACGTCAGGGAGAAGAGAGGAGTGTGTCCCAACTCCGCCAGCAGCGCAAACAAATTCGTCGCTCTGGATTCAAGCAAGGGAGGCCAGACCTTCGACATCAACTACTTCACTAACGTTCTGGATCACAAGGCCATCTTCAAGTCGGACGATGCTCTCATCTCCACAAGCAGCGGTCTGAAGCAAGTGCTGGATCTTGTTCGATCCCCGAGCTCGAAGTTCTTTAGCCAATTCGGGCTGGCTATGCAGAAGATGGGAAGGATTCAGGTCCTGACCGGATCTCAGGGAGAGATCCGCAAAGTCTGCTCGAAGAAGAACTAGAACATAAGCTGAAAATTGTTTCTTTGTTAAATTGAGTTGTAAAATTGTTTCAGTGGACCCAGACTAGACTCTTCTTTATCAAAGCACTTAGAATTGTAGTTGCTGAAACGGGAGGGTGCTCTAAGCTAGCCATTAGGTGAAGTTTTTCTAGCCAACATGGTGAGCTTTATTACTGAGCGTTAATCGAAACTAGTGACATGGAGGAAGTTTGGTGGCAATTCGAGAGAGTTCTAAGCTAGTTAGCAAGTTTTACTAGTTCTCTAAAGTTGTTAGGAAGAGTACAAATGAACACTGCATTGGTCTCGCACAACATTCTTCAAGACCTTGGGAAGAAGATCTGCTGTGCTAATTATGTAGCACGCGGGCATTCCTGCAGGCACCATTCTTTGCTTCGTTTGCTTTTGAGATCGAAGCCCACAATTGTCACTTTCATTGGGTGCTTTCGTGCACATAATAAACCGAATTCCGGCTTTCGCTATGAATTGCATGCTCGCTATGCAGGATGCTCGTGGTCGTTATTGAAATGTATCTACTTGTTGAGTTTTATTATTGAACTACATGCAGCGGAGCACAGCTCCGCTGCATAGTCTCCAATCGTTTATCTGATTCTAGTGTTTATGCTTGCAATTGTCACCAATGAGGTTTTGACAGGATTACGTCTTTGTCTTTCATGTAACTTAATAATACCTTATAAGGTGAGCTGATTTGGTGGACATGAACATGCGGAGCAAGCTTCGTTGTTTCGTAAGGTATATTCCCTTCTAACATCGACGAGCCACCTCGCTATTTGAAATTATATCTTCTTCAGTTAGTCTGAGTAACGTGAATAGCTCTGTGAATGCACTTTCATTCCTCGTCGTTGATTTCTCGAGCTGATTTGCTTATAGATCTCCACGCAAAGTTTCAATTGTGTTATTTTTTATTTTCTGCCAATATGTAATAAATCCTGAACCCAAATCAATCCAAATGAATAAAACTTTCATATAACTTTTTTTATGAGTTTTATAATATTACAATTTGATGTTTCAACATTTCATAAGCTGTAATTGCTCAAAATGTGCTCGTAGGTATCGATAACTTGTGACAATAATTTAAATATTCATTTTTGGCTTCATGTGAGTTCACGTTACCTATTTTCATTCAACCTTAATTAAAAGTATTCAATTTTTTAACACCACACAATATTCTGAAAATTTAAAAACATACCGTAAAGCCTTAGTTTCATTTCAAAAAAATTGAGTTCTCTTCTTTGTGTTAAAAAAATTCCCCTCTCTGAATATTTGTCAATAACAAATGTTTAAACTTCAGCGCAAAAGAATTTCTCTTTAAGTCTTGAAATTTTTTTTTACAATCAGAATATATTGATTGCTATTCACAGATTCAAATATTTTTCTTCATATTATTTTTGTTGGAAAAATATATTTGTTTATCAATTATTGTCTTGTTCTTGCAAATATATACTACTATTAAATACCATATTTTGTACTTTCTCATTGTAATTATTATTTTCATTTAAAATTATCATGTCACGGAAATTTCTTCTTTTATTTTTTTTATAAATTAATTTGTTCCACATATTTTACTATGCTACATTGTAAATCCATACTTAAAAATTTTAGTTTTGGCTTTGATACCTTAGATAAACATTTGTATTGAAATCTTTATTTGGATGGTATTTTAGTAAAACATGTTTCAACTCATAGTTGCGATACTTCATCACAACATAATGAAATTTGTACATTTTTTTTTACAAATATTTAATTAAATAATTATTAGAAATCATTTTTTGATTTAAAAAAAATCAAACCATTGTTGATGGATGAAAAATTTAATCCATATTCATCTCACAATTTTTGTACCAGATTTAAAAATATGAAAAATTTTAATTAAATTTCTTTTAAGTAATTTCTATATAATTTAATTAAATTCAAATACATCAAACGTGTAATTAAAGAAACGAATTTTTAGATTGAAAAATATTTTAATTTATTCTTTTGAATTTTCAACAATAAAATATTTTATTATTTTTTATGATATTTTATTGAAAATGTAGGTTTCATCAATTTTCTTTGAATAAACGAAGACTAAAACCATGTTTATTTGGATTTTATTAGATATTATTATTCTTATTTAATGAAAATTATCAATCTTAAATTAAGTTGAAAAAAGTGATTTTGAAAAACTATGACGTGTATTCTTGAAAGCTCAAAAATATTAAAGGTCTACGATTTTTTACTGTACAATATCAAATCCATGTTATGTTACATTGGTGTATATCATATATTGACAAAATGATATGACTGATTGAACATGTCTTCAAATTTGAAAATGATTTATTTATCAACAGAATTGCATAGCTGAATGAGATAAAATTTCAATACTCAAAAACAATTTTCAAGAAGTAAATGAGTTTATTAAATAAACATATAATCGTGATGACATTGAAATATGATGTTGTAAAAAATTTATTGCGATATTTCAGGAGTATAATTATTTTTTTAAATTCATCTAATATAATGACATATCAATCCATCTATAGCTTTCCATGAATTAATTTAAACTAACATAAACTAATTTGTTATTAATCTAAGAAATGCATTGAACCCTGTATTTTTTACATTTTTCCATTAATTTTTGGAAAATGCTTTGTAACGTTGAAGTTAATACTCTTAAAGAGTAAACTCAGGTCCTAGCTATATTTAGCTAAGACGATTTTGTACACTAGGGTTAAATACCCGGCTTTCAGCTGGACATGAAAAGCTTCTTGTGTGAAAAGCCTGAAGTAAAGTGTCGCATGTTCTTGGTGTACGTAGCCACTTCAAAGGGGTAAACCATGTTATATTTTGTATTGAGTGTTTCCTGTCACTTGCTTGTTTTCACGTCACATGTAAGTTCAAAAAACAAAAACCAATGTTTTAATGAATATATAATTTTCAAGATTTTTTAGCATGCTTTTAATCATTCAAACTTGAGCACTATTTAGTTTTGATCAGATTTCATTTCAGGATATATTGTGATTAATTTTTAAAGTAAAAAAATTCCCATTTTTTTTTGAAAAGTTTATCAATGAAAGCTATTTGTAGTAGAATAGATATTTCAAAACTTAAAATAGAAGTATGTTATTGTAGATGAGTTATTTTTTGAATGATGAATCTTTATGTTTTTGCATTCCTTCACATTTCTTTCTTTCAAGAATATTTTCAAAAGCTTGTAATTTATAATACATCCATATCATATATTATTTTAAGAAAACTTTATGCTTTACTTTGAAATTGAAAAGCACAATAAAAAGATTTTGCAAGTTTTTTTGCACTTTTAAAAATTTCAAATATTAGACATAATTTTGAAATCACCATTTTAGTGACTATTATAAATAGAAAGATTTAGCAGAACAATCATTTTTAAAGAATTTAGAGTGTGAAAAATACAATGGTCTACATTATTTAGAAAAGAGAAAAACTACGTTATGGAGCAATACTTGTGAGATATTGATTCACTCAACAAGTTGATGTAATTCAAGAAGTCTTATTTTGGTGCTAATTTGGTGTGAATGTGTTATGACGTAACAAAAACAAGGAGGTTTGTTTTTGAGAGTGTGATCTTGTTTGCTTTGGGGTACGAGATCCGAAGTGAAACTCTAACTGTAGGCAAGCAAGTGAGTTAGCAAGCAAACTATTGATTGCTTGAGTGTGTGAAATTATTTTGTGTGAATCCGGACAATTTGCAAGTCGGACGAGTAAACACTTTCAACGGGTTGCGGCTTTGTGTGAGGCATCGTGGGCAGATTGCGAGACTACTTCTCTTCATATTGTTTGCTTTGGTTCCAGCTGAACTCTTTAAGAAGAGGGATAAGACTCTAGAAATTGTTCTCATTGTGTTAGGAGCGATGTGCATTATATTTGGCACTTGACATACTTTGTGCTAGGGTTGGCTTTGCCATAGAGAAGTCTCACATGTGATTATTGTTATGTTCTTTGCGTATTTGATCTCCAAGATCAACATTCTTTGCTGCAATTTTGCTATATATCTTGTGAATCTACTCCGCAAAGAACACGGTTTGCTGCATCTTACTCCGCTTGTGCAATCCATACAAAAAGCTAAAGAGCCTCAATACGACTTGTACCAATTGTGGCACATGTGAGAACAACAAAAAATCATCGATGTAATTCTTAGTTAGAAGCTCGTGTGAATATAAGATAAATCTTGTCGTGAGAGCAATGATTTCAAAAGAGATGGCACCTAATGAGCAGACGATAATTAGTCAGACATATATCATCTACACCAATGTATGATCTTGATATCACTCGTCTATTTATGCTAATTTTGATTTATGCATAGAAGTTGCATGATTTGTTATTGAGATTGGAGTTGCGTGGTTGATGTTCTATGATATCTAAGGGTGCAAATGATTACGTCAAGGCCAATGAGGTGAGGCTTGGCTTGATAATGTCTCTCGGTTATTGAATGTCAAATATTAACCGTTTTCATCTCTTGATGTTAATCGTCAAATTGTGTTTAGAAATATGAAAAATATATCGTGGGCGTGCTTGTTGGCTGCATGATATTACCCAACTGATGTCGTCGACAAGGATTCAGATAGTATGCATTCGCTAATGAGATTGTCCGCAAATCTTGTAATTTGCCCACTTGTTTAAAAGGCAGCATTGATAAAACAGCGAGTGTTATTATTATTTCAACACGTATGATAAAAGCGACTCCACTTATGCTTGCAGAGTCCCTATTGTGAAATCAAAAATCATTGTGTTCAAGTTTACGCTACAATGCGTGACATGCGGTACTTCATTCTGGTTGACAACCAACATATTGAAATGCACATACAATGTTATGAACAATACTCTCATGCATGTTTGTTCTTGCAATGACATGTCCAACTTCATCAGAATTGTGTATGCTATTAATTTAAAGCTCATGGCTCGCCATCTGCGTCATGCATTAAAGTTTTACTATTGCTATATATTTGGCATTGCATCATAACATCTCGTATTTCAATTTGCGCTTTTGAATTTTTTTGCCAGCCTTTCATAACATTAATAATTTGCATGCAACGGCGCTCTTAATGTTCGACTCACACATCGACAATGTCATTTTCTTGATGGTTGTAAAGTTCTTAGAAATTCTTTGCCGCGATTGAAAAGTTTTTTTACTCAACCTAATTTTTAATGGAGCTCGCAACATGACTGGCCGCCTTGCTTGTGTTGTCACTTGCCTCAACTATGCGATGCACAATGAGTGGCATTTGATTTGAGTCTGGTGTGAAGTGCATTAATTATATCTAATATATGGATCACATCATGGACAATATTGTGAAGGAGCGTTTCTTTGATGTCATTGTAATAACCCACTAAAGGCTAAAACTGCAATATAGTGGTAGAAAGTTCGAACCCACAGGGACAGAGGAACACATAGGGTACAAAGTGTCACATTTAACAGACTATTGAGGAGTTTGAA